GTGCCTGTAATCCCAGCTACTCAGGAGGCTGAGGCAGGAGAATTGCCTGAACCCAGGACGCGGAGGTTGCGGTGAGCCGAGATTGCGCCATTGCACTCCAGCCTGGTAATAAGAGTTGAAACTCCGTCTCAAAAAAAAGAAAAGAAAAAGAAAAAGAAAAGAGGTTTAATCAGCTCACAGTTCCGCAGGCTGTTCAGGAAGCATAGCAGCTTCTGCTTCTGAAGAGGTCTCGGGAGACTTACAATTATGGTGAAAGGAGAAGAAGCCCACACATCTTAAATGGCCAGAGCAGAAGGAAGACACAGAGTGGGGAGGTGCCACACACTTTTAAACAACCAGATCTCACAACCACTCACTCACTATACAAGAGCAGCACCGGGGTGGAAATCCACCCGCATGATCCAATCACCTCCCACCAGGCCCCACCTCCAACACTGAGGATTACAATTCGGTGCGAGATTTGGGCGGGGACACAGATCCAAACCATATCACATTCTATCTGATGAATGGGTAAATGTAAGTAGTGCTTCCCTGAGTTCTGTGAGCTGCTCTAACAAAGGAACCCAAGGAACGGAATTCTCATGGGAACCCTCAATTTATGACCAGTCAGTCAGAGGTATAGGTAACAACCTACTATGTGGAATTGGCATCTGAGTGGAAGCAATCTTGTGAGACTGAGCCTTCAGCCTGTGGGATCTAATGCTAGTGTCAGAATTCAGTTAAATTATAGGATAATTGTGTCCACTGAAGAATTGGTTGTAGGTGGAAGAAAACCTCCAAAACACATTTTGGTGACCAGAAGTGTTGTATTGGTTGAGTACGTGAGACTAGGACAAACTCTTTTTTTCTTATACATCTCTTACATTCCCTTTGCTTTCAAACTTTTTTCTCTGTGACCTCAGGAATCTCATTCCATCATCAGCAAACTCCCTGATACACTCAGCCTCTTCAATGACCGTTCTTTAGCTGTGTAGGTATTTGCATGAAACATACCTGACTTCTCAGTTTCTTGATTCCATCTCCAATTACCTTCTCCACTGTGCTTCAATCACTCAATCCCATGGCCACCCCTAGACCGTGTCATCAAGCCTCTGAACCCATGACTTTCGAGTCCTCCCGTTCTTTTCATTTGGTTATTTTCACCATGTTTATTTCCCAAACTTATTAAGATCTGTAGTCTTTCTGCCTTCTCCTTTCCTCTTATCTATAATCCACTTGCTGTCCTCTATACCTTCTCTGCTAAGGAAGGACTCCATTGCTCCTAACATTGGCCACTGACTAGTGTTCTCAACTCCATTACTTCATTATTTTTCTGTTTTATCTGCCTGACAAATTTTAGAGTGTTTACCTTGAACCCAGCTATCTGTCTCGGCCATTCCTTTACCTAGGCTGTTGGGCACTGTAGGAAAAAATCACCCTGTCGCAGATTGGGGCTACCTTAAATTTGTGCTCAGCAACCTCAGGTGGGGCCTCAGTGCTGCCTGCAATCCTACTCTATTCCCTGGTCTCCTCATTTTCTCAGTCTCCAGAGGGGCTGTTTCAAGGATTCGCCTCTTTCTACACCTCCATGTGTTGGTCTCTCTACCCTTCTCATTCTCAGTTGGCGATTTTTTCCCCCACATATCAGAGTTGGGTGGGTAGATGTTATGAGATGTGAGCAGTCTCAGTTTTCCATTATGACCTATACCCTTTTTTTTTTTTGAGACAGGGTCTCCGTTGCCCAGGCTGGAGTGCAGTGGCGTGATCATGGCTAACTGCAGCCTCAACCTCCTGGGTTCAGGTGATCCTTCCACCTCGGCCTCCTGAGTAGCTGAGACTACAGGTGCACACTACCATGCCTGGGTACTTTTTTGTAGAGATGGGGTTTCCCATGTTGTCCAGGCTGGTCTCAAACTCCTGGGCTCAAGTAATCCACCTGCCTCAGCCTCCCAAAGTGCTGGCCTTACAGGCATGAGCCACCACACCCAGCCACAACCTATAAACTTACTTGCCTCTTTACACATTTTTTTGACCTTGCCTTTTATCATAACAGAACAACTTCCCCTATTTCCATCAAGGCCAATCTCTTGGCCTGATGCTCTGGGTCCCATCTCGCTCTGATTTCTCATTGACCTCACTCTCTCAGTTATTCCTTCACACTCCAACCTTTATAGTCAACCTCTTCCTCTCCACTGGCTCCTCCCTTCTCAGACTAAAAAAGCCACATTCCCTTCCATCTTCCATCCTCTCTTCTCTTGCCAGCTAAACTTCTTGGAAAAGTTGTCCACTCACTGTTTTAACTTCCTCACCTCCCACTCACTCTCCAAAATTCCTCTCTCCAAAATAACCCATGGTCTCCATAGAGCTAAATTCAAGGGGCACTTTTCAGTTCTCTCCTTATTTGACCTGATGGCAGCACTTAACATGTCCTCCTTTTTGATACTTTCTCTTTCCTGTGTATCTATGGCACCATCTATCTGCTCCCAGATAGCTTTCTCCATCTCCAACCCTTCACTTGAGCTTCAGACCCTATTGGTTCCACAGGCATCTTAAACTCAAACTGAACTCATTTTCTCTTCAAATCTGGGTATCTCCTCCTGAGTTCTCCCTGGAGGTAGCATGGACTCATTGCTGCAGCTAGTCACTTGTGTATCATTCCTTACCACTATCTTCATCATTCCTCACCACTATCTTCATCATTCCTCATGTCCAGTTGCATCACCAGCAACTTGATCCTGCCACCTGAATACCTCTCCTACCTTATTTCTTGTCTCCTTCCCCTCTACTCTCATCAGGTCTCACCTAAACCCCTGTTTCCAGTCTTCCTCACAAACCGTTCCCCATGCAGTAGCCGTGTGAGTGTCATGAGCAAGGAGTCTCACAGATGCAAGAGTCCACAAACCCTCAGGTGTGTGGTCGTGGAGCATTTTTTCCTGGAGCAAATTTGATTTCTGAATCTGAACTTCCAGTCTTCCTTTTGGTAGACAGCTTTATCTAGATTATCTTAAATGAATTCAATGATTTGTCTGTCAACGGAGATTCCACAAATATTTTAGTTCAGAATTCAGTTTCAAACCTTCCTTCCCCTGTTCTTGCCTCTTACTCTTGGGGCTCCTGGGGCTGGCTACCCAAGGGAAGTGGGGAAGCAGATGAAGGTCCATGTGTGAGTAGCAGGTGGGGCTGGGGGAGCTGTCCATCTAGTCTTTTCCGGGGTGGTTCTAAAGCTGGCCTAAGGCGCTAATGCCATTGTTGTCTATTCTCTCAGCATAGGCAAGCCCCAGCGTGCCCTCTAGAATACCAGATCCTGCTGGTTCTGAAGGGTGAGGATGGGCTGTCTGGATGCACATGCAGGTCCCATGTAGCTTCATCTCACAGAGGGGCAGCTATGTCCCCCACAATGCCAGCAAGCAATCCAGGAACATTCCTTTCTTTTGCCCTGCTCATTCATCTGCTTTCATATCAGATCATTTCTTCTCCTCACACAGCACAGAGGTGAAAAACCAGTTCACATTTACACATTTGTATGAGCTGGTTTCATTTTAATTATTTCACCTCTGAGTTAAAGTGCAGAGTTAAATTGTGCAGTGTAGAGTCTGGATTTCTCTCAGCAGCAGACGATCTCCACAATCATTAATTTGCTTTCCACTCTCCTGGCAGAAGAGTCAGGCGGGGTGTGTGCCTGTTTTTCTGTGTATGTGCATGTCGGTCGGGGCAAGGATCAGGCTGGCAGCCCAGAGCCCAAGTAGAGAAATTAGTGGGGAGAATGCATTCCATTAATACTTCACATATTATTCTGTCATGTGTTCTTTCTAAATCATAAATCTGAACAGGTCTTTCACCTGCTTAAAGCCATCTTCAGCTTCCCCATTGCCTTTAAGATAAAGTCTAAGCTTGTAAACTTGATTTACAAGTTAAGATCTGTTTACAGATGACCTTTCCCATTTCATTTGCCACAATTTCCTCTCTTCTTTCAGTTCCATGGGTTCACATACTCTCTTGCCTCTGGAGTTTCTCACATTCCTGGAAGATTCTCTTCAACTTTTCTCTACACCTGGCTAATTCCTGTACATTCCTCTGATCTCCGGTTAAACACCACCTCTTCTCTAAGTCCTCCTTGTCCTCCCTCCTACCTTTGACTTTGATTTGTCCCTGCTATGCACACCCATAACCTTCTCATATCAAAGCACTTATCATAGTCTAATTTTTTAAATTTGTTTTACTTTCCCACTTAACTATAAATGCTTTTAAGACAAGAATATCTGTCTTGATCAGTGTTCATTCTTCAGCACTAGCATGTGCCTGACACCAGACAGGTACTCAATAAATATTGTCAAATAACAAATGAATAAATGACTGAAGAATAAATTGAATGTGAAAGCCAGGTGCTGGCTTCATGTGCTTTTTTTTTTTTTTTTTTTTTTTTTTTTTNTTTTTTTGAGACAGAGTCTCACTCTGTTGCCAGGGTGGAGTGCAGTGGTACAATCTCAGCTCACTGCAACCTCTGCCTCCGGGGTTCAAGCGATTCTCCTGCCTCAGCCTCCCAAGTAGCAGGACTACAGGTGTGCGCCACCATGCCCAGCTAATTTTTGTATTTTTAGTAGACATGGGGTTTCACCATGTTGGCCAGGATGGTCTTGATCTCTTGACCCCGTGATCCTCCCATCTTGGCCTCTCAAAGTGCTGGGATTACAAGTGTCAGCTGCTGCGCCTGGCCTGACTGTCTTTTACTCTATAGCAGGACTTAGTACTTTACTGTGTTATCCCAAAAGCAAATCAACTCCACAGAGCAGAAGTGAGCGATGTAGATTTGACTGACAATTTTATGAGGAGACATAAGAGAGGGTTTAAATGGCAAGCATTTCTGTTCTCCCCTCAGTGTTCCTCCTCTTTGGTTTCCAGACATTGGGTCTTCCTCTCTTTTGACCCTCCCTTCCTCCCACACTCTCACCCCCAACTCAGCCTCTACTTCCCTTTTTTGAACAAATGTCACCTGAGAGGACTATGGAGGATGAATTGGAGAGAGATGAGGCTAGTATCAGGGAGTTCCATTTAGCAGGCAATTGAATGAGGCCAGACAGAGATGATGAAGGCCTGAGTTAAGAAAATGACAAAATGGCCTGAATCCCAGGACTTTGGAGGCTCAGGCAGGAGGATTGCTTGAAACCAGGAGTTCAAGACCAGCCT